CGTACAGCTTGACGGTATGTCTTGCACTTGGATGTACCTGTACATGTCTGTCAAGAAGGTACAGAAATTTCAGTTCCCTTATGTATGGGTGCATCATGGTAGTGTACATGATACATTTTCGATAGTGTGCTGCCTGTAGGAGCAAAACCCCACCATCCCGCATCATACAGTCCCTTTGCCCTTCAGGCCACATTCAATCAGCGAAAAACGACACATGTTTTCGTTGACGACAGGTCGATTTACAACGACATTTGTATGATGACATCCCACGCTGGGTTTTTCACAAAGATGCCGCTTCACATCGGTTTGAAATGGAAAATCATCCTCGACAGCAAAACAAGGTGGAGATAAACTAAATACTCCTCTACAGTTTGTTTTTGTCGCCAGGGACGCAAATTAAAATGGCCGAAAACCAGAGCAGGCCTAAGGTTATGGTTATGGCAGGTTATGTCAACTTCAAACTAAGAGGGATAGAGCTTCGCGGAAAAAGCAACGCATCGGCTCAACGTGATCTCGCAAATGGTGGCAAGTTTTATGCTGCGAGGTCAAAAGTTGATCCTGCCACATGACAACTTGTGCTGAAAATCGACGTATTAAGCCCTACATGCTCCCCTGTACATATCTGGCGCTATAGCGTCATGAAACTTAAATAGACGCGTTCATTGTTCAATTATGAGCACAATTAGATATTGATTAAAGCGTTTTGAGTATATGTTTTATGATATAAGGTGCCGTGAAAGGGCATGCTTCAAGTTTATTTGGGTTTTGAACTGAAGTAGTCATTTCCAAGGTCATGCCATACAGTTCATAGCTTTTTCTTCGCATAACTCCAAATTATTTTGTCACTGAGCAGGCGCATGCAAACTTGCGCAGAATATTTCGCGCTATCCTGCAATTACCTGGATAAATATGACGTCATGTAAACAACATGAGAATTCTGTCTCGTCAATGACCCCAATTGTGTTCAAGGCCAAAAATAAATGCAAACCTAGACGTATTTGTGACAGGGGTACATCAACAGACAGTGGTGGGATTTGAACCAGCATTCTTAAGCATTTAATGCAAGTTTTGCACACGGTCAGCGTTTTGTGATACATGAGACAGGTACTGGGGCAGTACTACTAGTCATGACGGAAATTAGGCTGCAACTTGAATAGCTTCTGAACACTGCCGTGACCAAGAATGCAAATGGAAGCAAACAAACATAGCAACGCAGACAAAAATGCCAGACAAACCACCCGTCGCAGATACATCAGTCCAGTTTCTAAACTTCCCACTCGCGAAGATTTGCGGACTTTCTGGTGGTCTATTTTAGGGCCACCCAGACATCTATGACGCCATAATAACGCCGTTCAAATCCCGTGATTTCATTGTCATAAGTCGACCAAGGCCAGGCAAAACAAAAGAGGAACAAATTACACCCATCACTTAACTTTCATGAACCAAACAAGCAACCGTTTTAGCACTTCAGTGCTACACATTTCACAAGCATGAAAGCATCGGATACGGGTGCTGTACAACGGAGGCGGGACTGGAAGGGCCGACCTACCTAGGGTGGTTGTGAGGGAGCCAGACCAGCAGAGAACGGGTGGCTTTCGTATGGAAAGCTGAGTTGGCAACATCCAGGTGAGTGGTCCTGACGGAAACTGGGTGGGCAGGGAGCAAATGCGTGGTTCTGCAGGGAGCTCGGCTGGTGGGGAGCTAACGGGCGTTGTGAGACAGCTGGGATGGCGGGGAGCGGATGGGTGTTTCTCGAGGGAGTGGGGCTGGCCAGGAATGGGATGTGTGAATAGCAGCCAATTGCTGGCTGCGCTGGTAAAAGATGGCTTTTTGCGGGCTAGTCACCCGTCCCGGAAACTTTACTTCTTGCAGCTAGAACGACGAAATCCATCAGACCATTCACGCGCCTGGGCTATCCAGTAGTTCACCCCAGCATCTGCGAAAGACATAACGTATGTTGACTATGATCACAACTGAATGAATAGGGGGGCCGACAGTGGGGTGAATAAGCTGGACACGCCCGACCAAGCTGAAATAGGGGATTCCATTCCATTTCACACAATGCACGCCGTTCCTCCCAAGGTGAAAAGCAGGCGACACCAAATATCGCAGCCCATTCCCTCGTTTAAGCTATCACCGTGCAGTGAAGACAGGTGCAGAATCGTGTCCGACATACAACCAATGATGGCGTTTCACCATACCTGATAGTGACACTCATACTCTGAGTCGACATAGTACTCAGTATTGAAACGTGTCTCCGAACAGCAGAGGAAAGATGAAAAGTGGGATAGGTATGACAATCCTGACATCGGAACCCTGGAAATTCAGAATTGAAATGAAACTCGACCCCGAAAAGTGTATTTTTCCGACCCAGTGGCATATGATTGAACAAGTTGTTTCTGTTCGCAGTGAACTTCTGCAACTTTTTGGGCCTAACCCAGTTGTGGGAGAAAAGTATATATGCACTGATACCTTCGTTCTAACGTCATGACATCACGACATACTCGCTGAGCACGAACAAAAGTAGCAAGATTTCGGACAAAAACGATTTTTTGATGTTTTTAATATTTTTTTTAAAAACTTTGTACAATTTAGAACGTGCAATTGATATATATATATATATATATATATATATATATATAAATACATTAGGAATTATAATTTTGAACATAATCTATAATCTGTGGCTGATCAGTAGATCTATGGCTGCAAAATTTGCATGGTTGCAGACACATGCTTGTATCTATGTATATATATATATATATATATATATATATATATATATATATATATATATATATCTCTCTCTCTCTCTCTCTCTCTCTCTCTCTCTCTCTCTCTCTCCCCTCTCTCTCTCTCTCTGTCTTTCATTTGGTTGCTTATTTCGGATGTTTTTCTAGGCTCTTTAGAATCCTGCTACCATGTTTTCAGAAGCACAATGCAGATTTATGCCAGCCTTGTCCTTACTAATGTGTTATTAGCTTTATGGACATTAATTCCTGCAAACTGATTTGACTGTTCCCAGGTTCATTGAACCACTGGAGCGTGAACAGCACCGTAATATCTATTTGGCTAATCAAGTTCATCGACCTCAGGTGAAGTAGATGACTTGGTATTAGTTGAAGATAAGTAAACAATTAGTGAATAGCATGCATAGTTCGCTAATTACCTCCACTTGCAATTAACCAATATAATTATACCTTGTGCTCAATCATCTAATTAGCTAAAATTTAATATAACTACCAGCATGATGAACTTGAAGTTATTGAATGCAAGACTAATGCCCAGCCTTTATAACAGCCTATTCAACGCCAAAAAACTATTTTGAATCACTATGCACGATTTTACAAGCGAACTGGTAACATTGTGAAAAGAGATTTCCCAATCCAGAGCGCAAAAAACGCATCCAATACCCCAGAAAATGTCAGAACTCTTTTACATCCAAGGCGTTCGCACACCCTTTGTTTTTTACCTGGAATGGGTGTGCTGGCTTTTCGAACTACGGCCTGGCCAAATTCTGCGCTGCCATCAATCATTTTTGTATGACAAGCGTTCGATGATTTCTTCCATGAAATGGCCCGTACATTGTATCTTGCCTCTCATTGTGCATTGGCTGTGAGCTTATATTGGTGTTAACCGTGTGACAACCCCCCAGCATTCAGATTTCGTGTGTATGTTCTCCAATTTTTGCCACTGTGCATCTGCTACGCCTGAAGTGTTTAGCCTACATGCATATCTTAACAAATCTAATTAACATCTGGGATTTGCCTTGTGACTCCACTCAAATGAACGTCTAATATCATGCATGGTATACCAAGACTTTCAGCTGCCGCATCAACGTTTTAAAATAATGCCAGTTCGCGTGCTTCGGCCACCAGATTGAGGTGCCGTCTACTAAAATGTAGCATTTCACACACAAAGGTGCAATTCACCTGACTTTCAGTCCTTCCGCAGGTGCTCTCGCAGTGGAAACCAAAAAAGAGCATCTCACTCCACTGTCATCATCACCACTAATCACCGCATCATCACGTCACTACCTCACCACCAAGCATTCATCCCTCACAAAACTGCATCGTGCGCAGGGAAATACGCGCTTTGTGTTTGGTGCTGTTTGTCGCATCTGCGCAGAATTCTTCCTAGCATAGCAGAGGGAAAAGTGGCGTTTGAGTGGGATGCTTGTCGTACAAAATAGTGCAAAAATTTATAAAATAAACAGTATTCCCGGCGTCCCAGCGATGAACACGACTAAGCCAGCCCTGACCGCCATCCTCCCCCTCAAAGTGCTAAGAGCTGGGCGCCCTACGATCGCACCTCTGGGAAGGGTTGGATTTGGTCAACTGGCTAGCTCAATGTTTCGTGTCCAAAAACTTATTTTGCTTTTGTGTGTGAGGCAAAAAACATTTCCTCTTTTTAAATGTCTTCAAACCACAGCCAGGTTTATTCCAAATCTCAACAGCAAACACGATTTGCCAAGCTTATTTTCTCAAATTCTCCAAGGTCTCACAGGCATCTGAAACTTTCCTTTTCTTGTGACTTACTGCGACAGAGGTTGCCTGCGAGGGCTGTCTGTGTACTAGAGGGTTGCTTGTGCAGCAATGCTACACGCTGTTGCATGCCGCTAACCGGCAAAGCTAGCGATCATTGAAAAGTGTTGATCTGATACCACAACATTCTGACTTAATTAAATGCAGCGTTCTCCGTTTCCAAATTTTTCCTCGGGTAGCCCAAAGCGTTACACTTACAACATTTTTACGTGAGTTTAGCAAGAAGTGTAAATAAATTTAATTCCGGCTATCTTTTTTAAATACAAACAGATACTGAGTGCGATCTTCTAGTTCTACTGTCCACATGTCACGACAAACGCATAGCTCTTTCTCTAATTGACAAGTGCAGTATAAGAATCGTGAGGATGTGCTTCATCAGAATCAACCTGATGGAAATAAACTGCTTATTTGACACAACTCACAGCATTTCATTACTGACGAACAAAAACCACGCCATCATCTGACGAGCAGATGACACGCAGCGTTCAGGCACATTTTTTGTGCAAAGAAGTCCGTTTCTTGACATCAGCGGGAAAATCCTTCACGCTCCGGTCTTCATGCCACAGCACTCGATGTTGCAACCTTTCTTATGCTGATGATTATGCACATCGCTTGAATCCGCGGCTCCCATATGCATAGATGTTTGGCTTGAAATTTCTTAACCAGCACCTCCTGTTATATTAACAGTCAAAATGTTAGCATAAGCGTACTGAAATCACCACGACGGCAATATTCTTTTAAATATCCCCACCGCACGTGTAAAACCGGGCCATCCCAACCGCCTTGTAACACACGTTATAAATGACGTTAACCGACAGAGCCAGCCTTGTTCGTTGCAGACAACGCTCACATTGCAACTACCTGGGTTCCCATCAACATTGGTGTTAACAACACTAGCTCCATTTATGGTAATTTGACTGTTATTGGGAAACGCACCGACGGCCACTAGTGATGTATCTAATGCGCTTGTCGACGTTGCTACAGCCGTGATTCCTGCGGTCGGTGTAGTTTCCGTCGGTGTTGCGGCTAAACCTGACACGGAACCTCCCCTCGTGCTGGCTGTCGTTGATTCCCCACGTGTAGGCGCCGTGGCTGTCGTGCTCGCAATCGCTGATGTAGCTCTTGGAGGTGTTGTCGTGCTTGTTGCCACTGCCGCACTGCCTGGCGGCGATGTTGAAACACCCTCTGTTGGCGATGTTGAACTCGTCATCGTTTCTTCGGTTGGATTTGCCGTGGAGTTTGCAGTAGTGCTAGTTGTCATTGTTCCTGCTGTACTTGTAGGTTGAGGTGGAGTGTTAGTTGATGTTGTCGTTGGTGTCACCGTCGTCGCTGAGTATGTACTTGCTGTAGAACTTCCTGTCCTGCTAGCTGTTGTTGTTTCTGGTGTACCTGTCGTTGCTGTGGCGGCACTAACTGTCGTTAATTCTGTAGATTCCGAGGTTGCCATTGGCGTATTTGGTGGCGATGCTGTCGTACGTCCTGGCGTCGCTGTCGTGCTTGATGTCGAACCTGCTGGCGTTTCTGATGTGCCTGTCGTTGCTGTTCCGGCAGGCGGCGCCAGTGTAGTGCTCTCTGATATTAGTGTCGAAGTCATTGTCACTTCTTCAGTTGTACTTGCTGCAGATCTTTCTGTCATACCAGTGGTGCTTGTTCCTGCCGTAGTTACAGCTGTAGTGGTTGTTCCAACTGTCGTTGATATGGAAGACACGGAAGGTGTGCCTGGCGTACTTTCCGCCGTTGCTGTTGCTGTAGTTACTGCAAAACCCTCTGTCGTTTCGGTTGCCGCTGTAGTTACACCTGTTGTTGACATTGTCGTGCTTGTTGCTTGTGTGGTGCTGGCAGATGGCGGTGCTGTAGTACTCTCTGGCGGTACGGGAGGATTCATCGTCGTTCCTGCGGTTGTGCTTGATGTAGAACTTTCAGTCGGGCTAGCTGACGCTATTCCAGTTGAACTTGTGGGTGCAGGTGGAGTATTAGTTGTTGCTGTTGGTGTCAATGTCGTTCCTAGGACTGTACTTGCCGGAGAACTTTCTATCATGCTAGCTGTCGTTGTTTCTGCACTAGTAGGCGCTGTGGTTGTTCTTTCTGTCGTGCTAGCAGTCGATGCTGTTGTGGTTCTTGGGGGCGTCGTTGTGCTTGCTGTCATGGTCGCGCTACCTGGTGGCGACGTTGAAACACTCACTGTTGTCGATGTTGAACTCATCGTCCTTTCTTCGGTTGGATCTGCCGTGGGGTTTGCAGTAGTGCTAGTTGCCATTGTTCCTGCTGTACTTGTAGGTTGAGGTGGCAGCGTTAGTTGGTGTTGTTGGTATCATCGTCGTTGCTGAGTATGTGCTTACTGTAGAACTTCCTGTCCTGCTAGCTGTCGTTGTTTCTGGTGTACTTGTCGCTGCTGTGGCTGCACTAACTGTCGTTAATTCTGTAGATTCCGAGGTTGCCATTGGCGTGCTTGGTGGCGTTGCTGTCGTACGCACTGGCGTCGCTGTTGTACTTGATGTAGAACCTGCTGGCGTTTCCGATGTGTCTGTCGTTGCACTAGTTGGTGACGTTGTCATGCTTGCTGTCGTTGCTGTTCCGGCAGACGGCGCCGGTGTAGTGCCCTCTGTTGTTGGTGTCGACGTCATCGTCATTTCTTCGGTTGTACTTGCTGCAGAACTTTCTGTCATACCAGCAGTGGTTGTTCCTGTCGTAGCTACAGCTGTAGTGGTTGTGCCAACTGTCGTTGATATGGAAGACACGGAGGGTGTGCCTGGCGTAATTCCTGCTGTCGCTGTTGTTGTAGTTACTGAAAAACCCTCTGTCGTTTCGGTTGCCGCTGTAGTTACACCTGTTGGTGACATTGTTGTGCTTGTTGCTTGTGTGGTGCTGGCAGATGGCGGTGTTGTAGTACTCTCTGGCGGTACGGGAGGACTCATCGTCGTTCCTGTGGTTGTGATTGAAGTAGAACTTTCAGTCGGGCCAGCTGTCGCTATTCCAGTTGAACTTGTGGGTGCAGGTGGAGTATTAGTTGTTGCTGTTGGTGTCAATGTCGTTCCTAGGACTGTACTTGCCGGAGAACTTTCTATCATGCTAGCTGTCGTTGTTTCTGCACTAGTAGGCGCTGTGGTTGTTCTTTCTGTCGTGCTAGCAGTCGATGCTGTTGTGGTTCTTGGGGGCGTCGTTGTGCTTGCTGTCATGGTCGCGCTACCTGGTGGCGACGTTGAAACACTCACTGTTGTCGATGTTGAACTCATCGTCCTTTCTTCGGTTGGATCTGCCGTGGGGTTTGCAGTAGTGCTAGTTGCCATTGTTCCTGCTGTACTTGTAGGTTGAGGTGGAGCGTTAGTTGGCGTTGTTGGTATCATCGTCGTTGCTGAGTATGTGCTTACTGTAGAACTTCCTGTCCTGCTAGCTGTCGTTGTTTCTGGTGTACTTGTCGCTGCTGTGGCTGCACTAACTGTCGTTAATTCTGTAGATTCCGAGGTTGCCATTGGCGTGCTTGGTGGCGTTGCTGTCGTACGCACTGGCGTCGCTGTTGTACTTGATGTAGAACCTGCTGGCGTTTCCGATGTGTCTGTCGTTGCACTAGTTGGTGACGTTGTTATGCTTGCTGTCGTTGCTGTTCCGGCAGACGGCGCCGGTGTAGTGCCCTCTGTTGTTGGTGTCGACGTCATCGTCATTTCTTCGGTTGTACTTGCTGCAGAACTTTCTGTCATACCAGCAGTGGTTGTTCCTGTCGTAGCTACAGCTGTAGTGGTTGTGCCAACTGTCGTTGATATGGAGGACACGGAGGGTGTGCCTGGCGTAATTCCTGCTGTCGCTGTTGTTGTAGTTACTGAAAAACCCTCTGTCGTTTCGGTTGCCGCTGTAGTTACACCTGTTGGTGACATTGTTGTGCTTGTTGCTTGTGTGGTGCTGGCAGATGGCGGTGTTGTAGTACTCTCTGGCGGTACGGGAGGACTCATCGTCGTTCCTGCGGTTGTGCTTGATGTAGAACTTTCAGTCGGGCTAGCTGTCGCTATTCCAGTTGAACTTGTGGGTGCAGGTGGAGTATTAGTTGTTGCTGTTGGTGTCAATGTCGTTCCTAGGACTGTACTTGCCGGAGAACTTTCTATCATGCTAGCTGTCGTTGTTTCTGCACTAGTAGGCGCTGTGGTTGTTCTTTCTGTCGTGCTAGCAGTCGATGCTGTTGTGGTTCTTGGGGGCGTCGTTGTGCTTGCTGTCATGGTCGCGCTACCTGGTGGCGACGTTGAAACACTCACTGTTGTCGATGTTGAACTCATCGTCCTTTCTTCGGTTGGATCTGCCGTGGGGTTTGCAGTAGTGCTAGTTGCCATTGTTCCTGCTGTACTTGTAGGTTGAGGTGCAGCGTTAGTTGGTGTTGTTGGTATCATCGTCGTTGCTGAGTATGTGCTTACTGTAGAACTTCCTGTCCTGCTAGCTGTCGTTGTTTCTGGTGTACTTGTCGCTGCTGTGGCTGCACTAACTGTCGTTAATTCTGTAGATTCCGAGGTTGCCATTGGCGTACTTGGTGGCGTTGCTGTCGTACGCACTGGCGTCGCTGTTGTACTTGATGTAGAACCTGCTGGCGTTTCCGATGTGTCTGTCGTTGCACTAGTTGGTGACGTTGTTATGCTTGCTGTCGTTGCTGTTCCGGCAGACGGCGCCGGTGTAGTGCCCTCTGTTGTTGGTGTCGACGTCATCGTCATTTCTTCGGTTGTACTTGCTGCAGAACTTTCTGTCATACCAGCAGTGGTTGTTCCTGTCGTAGCTACAGCTGTAGTGGTTGTGCCAACTGTCGTTGATATGGAGGACACGGAGGGTGTGCCTGGCGTAATTCCTGCTGTCGCTGTTGTTGTAGTTACTGAAAAACCCTCTGTCGTTTCGGTTGCCGCTGTAGTTACACCTGTTGGTGACATTGTTGTGCTTGTTGCTTGTGTGGTGCTGGCAGATGGCGGTGTTGTAGTACTCTCTGGCGGTACGGGAGGACTCATCGTCGTTCCTGCGGTTGTGCTTGATGTAGAACTTTCAGTCGGGCTAGCTGTCGCTACTCCAGTTGAACTTGTGGGTGCAGGTGGAGTATTAGTTGTTGCTGTTGGTGTCAATGTCGTTCCTAGGACTGTACTTGCCGGAGAACTTTCTATCATGCTAGCTGTCGTTGTTTCTGCACTAGTAGGCGCTGTGGTTGTTCTTTCTGTCGTGCTAGCAGTCGATGCTGTTGTGGTTCTTGGGGGCGTCGTTGTGCTTGCTGTCATGGTCGCGCTACCTGGTGGCGACGTTGAAACACTCACTGTTGTCGATGTTGAACTCATCGTCCTTTCTTCGGTTGGATCTGCCGTGGGGTTTGCAGTAGTGCTAGTTGCCATTGTTCCTGCTGTACTTGTAGGTTGAGGTGGCAGCGTTAGTTGGTGTTGTTGGTATCATCGTCGTTGCTGAGTATGTGCTTACTGTAGAACTTCCTGTCCTGCTAGCTGTCGTTGTTTCTGGTGTACTTGTCGCTGCTGTGGCTGCACTAACTGTCGTTAATTCTGTAGATTCCGAGGTTGCCATTGGCGTACTTGGTGGCGTTGCTGTCGTACGCACTGGCGTCGCTGTTGTACTTGATGTAGAACCTGCTGGCGTTTCCGATGTGTCTGTCGTTGCACTAGTTGGTGACGTTGTTATGCTTGCTGTCGTTGCTGTTCCGGCAGACGGCGCCGGTGTAGTGCCCTCTGTTGTTGGTGTCGACGTCATCGTCATTTCTTCGGTTGTACTTGCTGCAGAACTTTCTGTCATACCAGCAGTGGTTGTTCCTGTCGTAGCTACAGCTGTAGTGGTTGTGCCAACTGTCTTTGATATGGAAGACACGGAGGGTGTGCCTGGCGTAATTCCTGCTGTCGCTGTTGTTGTAGTTACTGAAAAACCCTCTGTCGTTTCGGTTGTCGCTGTTGTTACGCCCGTTGGTGACATTGTTGTGCTTGTTGTTTGTGTGGTGCTGTCAGATGGCGGTGTTGTAGTACTCTCTGGCGGTACGGGAGGACTCATCGTCGTTCCAGCGGTCGTGCTTGACGTAAAACGTTCAGTCGGGCTAGCTGTCGTTATTCCAGTTGTACTTGTAGGTGGAGGTGGAGAGTTAGTTAGTGTTGTTTGTGTAAATGTCGTTCCTGGTACTGTACTTGCCGGAGAACTTTCTGTCATGGGATCTGTCGTTGTTTCTGCACTAGTAGGCGATGTGGTTGTTCTTACTGTCGTGCTAGCAGTTGCTGTTGTTGTGGTTCTTAGGGATGTCGTTGTGCTTGCTGTCATGGTCGTACTGCCTGGTCGCGATGTTAAAACACTCTCTGTTGACGGTGTTGAACTCATCGTCGTTTCTTCGGTTGGATTTACCGTGGTTCCTGCTGTTCTTGGCGTTGTTGGTGTTTAGCCTGCTGTTGGTGATGTGCTAGTCGCTGATGGTGTTCCCTGTGTACTTCCTTCAGTTGCTGTGGCACTTGCAGTCGTTGCCGCGGTTGCACTTATTGTAGAAGTTGTTGTGGTGCTTTCGGACATGGTTATTGTTGAAATTCCTGACGTTGTTCCTGACATGGTTAATGTTGAACTTTCTGACGTTAGTTCTGACATGCTTACGGTCGTCACTTCTGTCGGAGTGGTTGCCGTACTACACCCCACTTGTTCTTCACATTCACATCCCATGTGTTCTTCACAGTGACATCCCATATCGTCTTCGCAGTCACATCTCATATTGTCTTCACAGTCACATCCCATATTGTCTTCACCGTCGCATCCCATATTGCCTTCGCAGTCACATCTCATATTATCTTCACAGTCACATCCCATATTGTCTTCACAGTCACATCCCATATTGTCTTCACAGTCACATCCCATATTGTCTTCACAGTCACATCCCATATTGTCTTCACAGTCACATCCCATATTGTCTTCAGTGCAGCCACAGACAAGTTGATCACTGCAATTACAGCAATCGCTACTCACGTCCATGCAGTCACCGCTATTATCTGCTTCACAATCGCACATACTACTCTCGTCCACGCAAAAGTCATGGTTTGCGGCCTCACAGTTGCATAGGTTACTCCCATTCACACCTTGATCAATATGTTCCTCAGGACAGTCGTGCATGCGACTTGCGTCTGTGCAATCGTCGCATTGCTCTGCTTCGCGTTTATATGCACCACTTTCGTTCAAGCGATCACGAAACCACTTGTCTGGCCTGAAAATGACGGATCTCGCTCCTCTGATATTCGTAGCCCTAAGGCCTTTCGTCCAGGGGAGCCATGTTTCATCACGCCGGTACTCGAAGCGCGGATTTGCTTGCCAGCCTCGGTTGAGTTGTCTGCTATGACGAAGCAGGTCCGTGAGTTGTTTGAGCGTCAAGCTTGCTGTGGTATAGGGCATTAGAACCAGACCTAGAGCCCCGAAGAGAACGAGCGCAGTCGCCGCGGCCATCACGACAGCGTCGCCACGGCGGTGCACCTTCACAAGCCGCACCCGACTGACCGCGCACGCGCATCTTTCTCATAGCCACCCCGCCAGGGAACAAGCTATGCCCCGCCGACGGGCGCTGGGCGAATCCGCCCATTGGCTGAGGCTGGTAGCCAGGCATGTTTTGCTCGGAACATTTCGTCGGGCAGTGCGCGGCGGCATCGTGCTTTTG